CATGATATGTACAGGTCCTTAGAAATAACTCTACACAATAAAAGTCATTTAAGTTTTTGAGATGAAAACTGGTGGGCATTCAATAAATATTTATCCATTTGTATCATCAAAAGTATAATTGGGATCCTTTAAATTGCCAATGTAGACAGAGATGTGCCTTGTATACATCACAATCAGGGCAGCTACACGTTGAGTAGGGTACAGAGGAAGTCATTCCTAGAAACACCCATGGAAACAGTGCCCCCTATGGTTGTGCAGTGTGCATCACCCACACAGTAACTTCAGTCTATCAGTCTGAACAGGCTATGAAAGTGCAACATCAGGTTCTCCTTGTTCACCACCAGGATCCACTGAGTTTCTCGGCTAACTGGGTAGTCACAGACTTTCACTTCCCACTTCTTTCTCATTCGCCACCTTTCCCTACAAGTCTCTATTCTCGTCAAAGATGCTGACCCTCCCAGAGAGGGGGGAGAGTCCTGCAGTAGAGAGTGTGCTTGCAACTCTGCGGGAGCCCCACTCCACCTCCAGGGGCCTCTAAAGCCTGGAGCAAGAGATCCCTCCAGATCGGAACTGAATGTTCTCCTCACTTTCTAATGAGGTACTTACCCAACGTCTTTTTTCCTAACCCAACACGTTTTAAAAATGTGGTTATTTATTTATTTGGCTGCACTGGGTCTTAGCTGTGGCACAAGGGATCTTTGATCTTTACTGTGGCATGCAGGATCTTTAGTTGCATGGCATGTGCAGGGATCTAACTGCCTTACCAGGGGTTGAACCTGGGCTGCCTGCATTGAGAGCTGGGAGTCTTAGCTACTGGACCACCAGGGAAGTCCCCCAGTAGGTGTTAGAGTTACATACAGGAATGAAATATACCAAAACCCCTGCCCTCAAGTAGCTCACAGTCTAGTGGAGATAAGACATGTGAACACATAAGGCATACTCAAAACACTGACTAAGAGCCATGCCAGAGGGGTGAAGCATGGCTGTCCTCATAGACATAGCTAGCACAAATGCAATTAACTTGGTGGAGAGGGTGTGGACAGAGAATCCCAGGTAGGTGAACCTTCGTATACACAGAACAAGGTATGTATGAGAAACTACAAGTATTCAACATTCCTGGAGCAAAAGTTCTTGCAAAAGTAATGGGAGACCTGGCTGAAGAAACTGGCTGAGGATGAAACATTTAAAAAACAAAACAAAACATGGATGAAGTTTGATCATTTTTCCTGAGAAGGAACAGAGGAGTCACGGAAGACTTTTAAGCTGTTCGATGACTTGGTCAATTCTCTGCCTTTTAGAAAAGTCTCTCTGGACTCTAGGGTACAGTGGAAGTTGGGCTGGACCAGTCAAGATAAGGGGAAGAGACCATTTAAGGAGGGTTTTGTCCAGATGAGGGATCCTGTGAAAACTGAGGGCATGGGGAGCAGTTCATGGCTATCCCCGTCATTGGAAAGGATAACTTTATGGAATTAAAAGACTCACAAGATGGAGGTGGGGATAAACTGAGAATGACTTGTGCTACTGGATGCTTCCCAGGTGGTGCTAATGGTAAAGAACCCACCTGCCAATGCAGAGATGTGGGTTCATGCCCTGGGTGGGAAAGATCCCCTGGAAAAGGACATGGCAACCCACTCTGATTTTCTTGCCTGGAGAAGCCCCATGGATAGTGGATTTCCTAGCGGGTTACGATCTATAAGGTCACAAAGAGACACCACTGAAGCAATTTGGCATGCACTGGGTGTTTGGGCTTCCCTGGAGGCTCAGACAGTAATGCAGGAGACCTAGGTTTGATCCTGGGTTCGGGAAGATCCCCTGGAGAAGGAAATGGCGACCCAATCCAGTGTTCTTGCCTGGAGAACTCCATGGACAGAGGAGCCTGGTGGGCTACAGTCCATGGAGTCGCAAAGAGTCAGACACGACTGAGCAACTAACTCTGGCAGTGCCATTCACATCAGGAATAAGAGGACGAGGCTTGGTAGGGGTCCACTCACACACACATATAGGGAGTTAAACAATACAGCAAAGGGAGGCCAGGACTACACACAGCAACATCACCAGGCTTTCACCAGGCACAGGAGCAAATGCCACCAGTACAGAGTAAGCAAACACTGTTTGATCTCTTTCTCAAGGCTCCTCTTCGCATAACTTTTATCCTTTGTGGGAGCAGTATCACTTGGAGGAATCTGCCTGTTATCCTTAACAACATTGGAAAATCTTTCTAGGTCCACAGCAGCAGTGAGTAAGAAATCACTACCTCTTCTGGATTTCCTACTTCTTGTTTGGAGGGTTTTTTTCTTTTTTAAAGTTATTTTAGCTGCGTGCCGGCTTTCTTTAGTTGCGATGAGCAGGGGCTACTCTCTAGTGCTGATGCTCAGGTTTCTTCTCTTGTTCCAGAGCACAAGCTCTAGAGGGTGCAGGTTTCAGTAGCTGTGGCTCGTGGGCTCAGTAGTTGTGGCCCATGGGCCTAGCAGCCCTGCAGCGTGTGAAATCCTCCCATACTAGGGATTGAACCCGTGTCCTCCACACTGGCAGGCAGATTCTTAACCACTGGACCACTAGGGAACTCTGTGAACTTCCTACTTCTTGCTCTGCTCAGCATCTTGTACTACTGCCAAAGCCTTTCTTCATTGCATGAGTGTGACCATGTAATTTCTGGTGCATTTTAGAGTAGTCAAAGATTTATAACTTCCCAGAAAATATTTGGTTCTGAGATATAAACACAAAGTAAAGGCTGCCCCTAAGAACTTTATGAAGTAGGCAAGGAGCCATTTAGCCATTCAATAGTTAGTCATTCTGTAGATATGGTTCTGAGATTAATGCTGAAAATGCAAACGTTTCTTGCCATTAGAGACTTTTACATTTGATGGAGAAAGTGAAGAAATCAAACCTTAAAGGAATGGGTCAGGCGTGATTTATTACATTATAAGATGCTATGGGAGCAAGGAGTGGGAAGAGCCAACTCGTCTGTGGATGTCCAGAGAAGTTTCCTCTAGGCGAGGGACGCTAATCACAGAATACAATGTCTACCAGGAACAATGTCCCAAGCAAGGAATGCACCAAGTGCTCAGAAAAAGGCACTATTTCATTCTAAGTAGAGCCAGCAAAACTTTTTAGACAGGAGTATGCTTTAGTTGAAATTTGAAAGGCTCCAGTGAATTGAGTTCCGGAAAGTGGGAAGTATAAGAGCATGTTTGAGAAGCTGATGATGTCCTTTACCAAGATCAGACTTAGGTATTTTGGGGGGGGGGGGGAACCTCTAAGACAGGGAGGGAGACAAATACTTTTAAACACTTAACAGCAAATCTAGTGTTAAATAGTATTATAGCATTCAAGAAACACCACGGGGCAGTTAGTGATTAAGAGCAAAGTCAGAGAAGGGACTAGAAGCACACGGAAGGATGAGGTCACCAGTGTGTTTGACTGAATCACAAGGTACCCGTACAGACCTGAGGTCACAGGTCTTTTGTGGGCTGGAAAGGCATTCTCACCTACTCAGTGGACACAGGGTAAATGTTGGTTAACTGAGTTAATCTTTCCTCGGTAGCCAGAAATTGTGGGGGACCTTGCTACTGTGTTTACACTTTAACCAAAACTTTAGGAAAAACTGAGGCTCCCCAAGGAAACAGGAAAACGCCATTCTGGCGCTTATTCGGGCAAATTAATAGCCAGAGAGCTGCCCTCCAAAAACTGCACCAAGGCTGTCCAGCTCTTTTTTCTAAAGTTCTAAACTTTAGGTGGGCGATGAGAAGAGCGTTCGTGTGGATTAAAAAGATTCAGAGAGAGCAAAGGAAGCTCTTCACATGCTTTCCTTAGTGATCCACCTCCCCCGGACCCCTACCCTGCTTCCTTGAAGGAAAGCCATGTAGGCAAGAGTATTGAACTTGAAGCCTGGATCTCTGCCACTACCTGACAATGAACAGGTCACTTAATCTCATCTCCCTGAGTCCTCTGTCCCCATTCATGGTTGTGGGCTCCATACTACTATTTAGGGTCTACGATATGAAAGGTGAGGCGTTTTCCACGCTCTCTTTTAATCCTCACAACCATTAAGGTAGATTTCAGTAACCCCATTTGACACAAGACATTCAGTTCAGAGTGTGTAAGTAATACGCCCAAGGTCACACAGCAACAGTGGCGGGGCCAGACTGCAACTGGGGTTGCTTGAGTCTCTCACTGCGCAGTCCCAGCTCGGCATCAGTTGACGAGCCCTATGCTCGTCCCCTGGGTCCCCATTCCCGAACTACCGGACCGCCTCCCCTCCGCCCACCTAAAACCCCAGGCTAAGCGCCCCTTGAACCGCCGGGCATGCTCAGTCGCTCAGGAAGAGTTTTCGCTCTGCCTTGGGAAATTTTTCACGCCGCTCCGGCAGCCAAACCCGCCCCGCCCACGGCTTCTCCTCACCGGATTGGTCGAACTCAGGGAAGCTACAAGGAGGCCCCGATGACCTCCCAACTACCCCTCCCAACGATCTGGGCGCGCGCGTTCCGAGCGTGCGTGCGTGCGTGCGTGCGTGTGAGTGAGCACGTGAGGCCCCGGAACGTGCAATGGGGGAGGGGGCGGGACTTGAAAAACCGGAGGCAAGGGGCGGGGCTGTCGTTGCCATAGCAGTGACGTCAGGCGTCGGGAGCGAAGCCGGCCTCTTCGCGCGCGCGCGCGCGCGTACACACACAGCGAGACAGGCACACACGCGCGCGCACCGCCGCTCTCCGTCAGACACACTGGAGGGAAAGGTCAAACTAAAGGCGAGGGAGCCGGGAGGCCGGAGGGAGCCGCCGCCGCTGCCGCCGCGCGCCATGACGAACGCGGCCGAGGCGGCTTTCTCGCCGCCGACGCCGCCGAGCCGCTGCTCCCGCCGCGTCCCCGGCCCCCCTTCAGTGCTCCGCGCCCCCTCCCCCGGCGCTCGCGCGTCCCCGCGCCCCCTCCTCCCCGCTGCTCTCCGAGCGCGCGTCGGGCCCCGGGCGCGCGCCGGTTGGAGCGGGCGCGGGCGGGTGGGAGGCCCCGCGGCCTCCGCGCCAAGACCACCCCCCGACCCCCTCGGCTGGTCCCTCGGCCGGAGCCCGCCAGGTGAGTGCGGTGGGGGGCGGGCGGCGGAGAGAGCGGGTGTCAGGAGTGGCCCGGGCAGCCGGCGGGCTCAGCCCGCTGCCTGACCCCTTCCGGGGGTGCTGACAGGCGCGCGGTCCCCGGCCTCTGGGGGGCGTCGCGGGGTTGGCGTCTCTCTCACGGGGTTGGGGGGCTGGGGGGGAACCCGTTTGGCGTCCCTGTCCCTCGGGGTCGGCCGCGGAGCGCCGGGCGCTCGGGGCCAGGGGAGTGCCGCTGCCGGACGGGAGTCGGTCGGGCGACTCGGCCGTGGGGACCGGCGGCGGGAGGGCAGGTGGTCCTTTCTCGGGGGGTGAAGTGCGGAAAGTGGGTGAGGGGCCGGGCCAGGTGCGCGCGGGGCGGCGGGGTCCGCTGAGCTCTCAGGAAATGTTTGTCGGGCAGTTGGGAGAAACTCCGTCCTGGGGACGAGGCGCCTTGCTTTTTGCCCCCGGGACAGCGAAAGTGGCTGATCTTTACAGCAAAACTCGGGGGAAGCCCGGCTGGACCGGCCGAAGGGGAGAGGGGGACCCCACCCCCCACCCCTGCATATGGACCGGAGACGAACAGACCTGCCTGTGGGTAGCATTAGGGCATGAGGCGTGGACGTTGCCATGCCAGTGTTGGATGTTTGTTACTGATGGTTATTTTAGGACTAAATGTTTTTTTAAAAAAAGTTATTTGGGAGAGAGGGAACTGCGTGAATGGTCAGGAGTTCTTCCCTGTGTGTGTGTGTGTGTGTGCGTGTGCGTGTGTGCAGGAAATGGGTTAATCTTTCACATCATCACCACCACCCAACTGAATTGATGCCCAGTGGACTTTAAAAATAATAAATACGAAACCCTAAAGCCCTGAAACGAAGCGGTGTTTGTCTGATGAGTTTCGGGTGTCAGGCTCCGGGTTCTGCGAGAAAAACAGAGAGGCAGGACACTGAAGTACTTGATATGCTCCAGCAGCCGTCTTTTTTTTTTTTTTTTGTAATAAGCTTTGGAGCCCATCAAAGTGGAGTTTAGTTATAACTGCCAGGGTTAAGTAATCACATTGACCCCGTGCCACCCACCAATCAGGAGCTTCCCTGAAAGTAACTTGGAAGCGGGCTATCAGTGCAGTCCTCTGCTGATTGCGAATAACCACTGCTTCTGCTCATTTCTTTTTCCCTCTTTAATTTTCCGCTGTTGTAATGCATGCAACCTATTTACCAGACGTTGAAACGAATCATCCATAGTTGAGTTGCTCTCCACAAAGTCACTTTTCAAATGATCAGGTGCTAGCTGTAACATTATGTCTTCTTTTCAGGTTTGAAAGTTGTTTGGAAATTTCCATTATAGCAATTTCACATGGTAAAGATTTTTTTGAGTGGAAGTCTAGCTTAAACAGATGATACCAAGTGGGTAATGTGCTTTAGAGTTTAAAATCTCATCCAAGAAGACTTCCGGTTTGTGGAAGGTGCAGGATTGTGACCCCTGAGGAAATGTCTTTGGTAAAAATTAAGGAACGCCAGGACACCTGGTGAATTTCATGTTAATTGGCAAGCACCGCATATGTTATACAAACTTTCTCCTTACCTAAGCATTTCTGATACGTGGGTGCTGCTTTGGTTGTTTATGGATCTTTGGTTAGTCATAATTTTCAAAAAGTTCTATCAAGGGAGAACTCTCACTTTGAAATTGAGTCCTGGTAGCCATAGCCAGGGTACCAAAGGTTTTCAGTACAAGATGTGAGGGGGAATTTTTCAGTGTACCATCTTGTTAATTCTTTCTCTGCAGCTATTTTTGTATCTGGTTCTGTGCTCTGATGCCCCTTTTAGGTCTTACTCCTGTGGCAGTTGCTGACATATGTCTGTATACAATCCTGTGATGGGGTACTTAAATGTTACGACTTAGAACATCATTTCCTGTACTACATAAATAAATTTTTATTTGTCTTCCTTCCTTCTCTGTTTCTAAAGGGAACTGTGGAACTGGGCAAATCAGCACTTAATCAGCATATCCCCCCTCCTGTAAGTCTCGTTGACCTTGGTGTTATGGGGGAGGTCATGTGTTCATGGAGATAAATAGTTCTTGAATAGTTTCCTGCAGGTGACGAAGGCACATGGGAAAGTGATTTGAGATATGAATTTCTTGATTTTTCAAAAAAAAAATCATTTTAATCAGGCATTTATTGTGATTATTGCCAAAAATAGCTCATTGACCTTTCTTTGGGAGTCCATACATTTCTATTTTACATTTTAAAGAATCACTTAATTTCTTTTTTGATTTTTCTAGTGTTGTATATTCTACTACAGATGAACAGCTGGTTTTTTGGGTGACATTTTTAAAACTTGGGGAAAGAGAGAGAAGCGCAGTAACACTGGGAAGAATTTGGCCCTGAAAAGCAGTTGTGCTCAACTTTTAAGAAATTTGATATTTACAAGTGTAAGATTACAAAACAAGTAGTGGTTACTTATGTTATATGAAAATTCTAAATTTTACAAAAAGGATTCCCTGAAGGGTGCCTTCAAATAATTATCCCTTTTATATGTTACTTACCAGATGTGATTTGATTTTTGAAAAGTCAGTTGTCATACAACAATTTAAGAACAGATTTTAGACATAATGTTAAGATTTATCAAGTGTGTTCCTTGAATTGTCTCTTTCCCTAAAGTGTTTTGGGGTAAAGTTAATATTTATGGGTTTCCTGAATTCAAAGTTGTGCCACTTACATGCTGCCCATTAAGTAAGATTTTAACTGAATGGAAAAATTACCATCTGATTTGTGCTGTACCATTGACAGAGTACATTGAAACCTAATTAAAATGCCAAAATTTTATGGTCGGGTTTGTCTGGAACCCTACCCAAGGTTGTTCAGTTACTAAGGTATCAAAAGCAGCTTGTTGTAAGATACTCTAACTAGGACGGTGGTCCTGCAGCAAAGGCCAACAAGTGGTTATACCCAGACTTAAGCAAAATCCAAATAAATAGATTTGGTCTAAAGTCCACATGGAGTGAAAACCATTACGTGGAATTTTTCTCTAGGTGCAAATTATTCTTCAGAATTAAAGGGTTGATTTTCCGAAGCTGTAATTCTATTTGGGTCACTTGTGAAAAATCTATTTTGATAAAAGAACAACTGCATACTCTTGGAACTTTCAAGGGAGCTTTTTCTCTCTCTCTTTTTGTTAGTGCAGTTGGGTTTTATTTGGAATCCCAGGAGATATTGAATGAAGTCCTTGGGGAGTTTTCATTCCAAAATCATTTGGCTTTGATGACATTTAAAAAAAAAAAGGAATGTGAGTTTATATGAGTAGAACTTGCTTTTGGGTTAGCTCAGACTTTATGTTGGGATAAAGGGGAAAGGGAGGAACTGGACACAAACTTAATTAAGGATAATTAATCAAATTTGTTTTATGTTGCTCATGCCTGGCTGTGTAAGAGTCTCACCTTTCCTCCCCAGCTTTAGAGAAATCTTACTCCTAGAGAAGGGATTTGAAGGGTAAGAGCTAAGCATTGAGTATGTAAGTGTTGTTGAAGTATCTTTTAAGCGCTTTAATAGTTTTTTGTCTTGTTCTTGTGCATTAGACAGAGAACAGGAAACTATTTTCATGCTGAATATAGGCTGAGAGCCCAACTTTGGAATAAGGGCACATTTTTATTGCTCTTAGCATAATTGAATATTATAAAAATTAAGGGAACAGCTTGAATGATGTCATTAATTTTTTACTATAAGCTCTTAGGTCCTCTCCTGAACAAATAAATAAAAATGAAGATTGAAATTTTGATGTTAAAAGAAATATTTTCAAGTTTTGTTTTGCTTTTTTAATCTCAAAGGACTATCTCAAGGATTGCTAATTTAGAACATAGGTAAAAATTTCATTTATCATAATTGAGGGCATGTAATTAAAAAAATTTTTAAGTACGTGCAAAAAATAAGTAGACTACTGCATTTTAAAAATATTTGTGCCAAGATCTGTGAGAATAGGGGTAATGATTAGAAATTTTAATTGGGACTTAAGGCTGATATATGTTATTAGTGTCATTATTTAACCCAATGTCACTTTTAAAACGTCATTTAATTTTTCTTTTCTGTAAAATGCAATCGGTGGAACATACTTTATGTAAAATTGGGTTCTTAAATATTTGGTAGACTTTTTAAGTATAAAATATTACCTAATATAATAAAGATGTTTAAGTCTATAGGATTTTTAAAAGTTTTTAGACCTTGTAATCTGAAGAAATTTAGAGAAAATTTTTAAAAATAAAGGCTGAGTTCAGATTTTTAGTCATAGATGATCCCATAAATTGCATTTTACTCATTCTCCTTAAAGGGTTTTACTGTTACATGTTTATATTTTGCTGACTCCCATCACACTGAATTTTTTTACTTTGATTTTTTGGTCTCACACCACGTGGCATGTGGAATCTCAGTTCCCCAGCCTGGGATTGAACCTGTGCCCCCAGCAGTGACAGCTTGGAGTCCTAACCACAAGGCCACCGGGGAAGCCTCTGGTCACACTGGTTTTTAGTGTTGGATCATCTTATCTTTAGCATCAAAGTGTTTTTGTAAAAACTGTCCTCTTTATTTTCTCCCAGCTCCTCCATCTGGGAGATTGTTTGAATCTCAGTTATTGAATGTTGTTTAATCAGAGGTTAGTCTAAATAGAAGGGTTTTTGCAGCTTTCACAAACTTGGGGAAAATACAGATTTATCTTAAGATAATTTGTGAACTTCTTTGTATTAATACAAGGACAATTAAGCACTGTTTATAATTTAATATTCCTAACTACTAGCATTTATTCTAAGCTAACTATTCAATGTATTGTTGAAATCAGCATAGTAGTTGTACAGTCTCTTAGAAATATCTATTTTCTCTGTGGGATAGTTTTCAAAATACTTCCCTTAAGTGGGAAAGAGATGGAAATTTTACTCTGAAACTTTCTTCTTGAATATATAGTTAAATGTGTAGAGTTAAATATTTGAGATTGGTGGTTGTTTTGATTGTTAGTTACATGTTAGAATTTTTTGTACGTTTTTGTAGGATTACTTTCAAGTATGTTTTCATTTGTAAAAAGCTATTTTTTTAAGTTATTTTGTTTTTAATGATCGCAAATTCTCAGGCTTTTATATTTGAAAGAAATATAAGTGAGTAATTTATTAAACTGTTTATGTAAAATGCATGCAGTAACATTTATTTTGCTATAACAAAGAGAGTTACCTTCATCCCAAACAAATTTATAGCAGAATAGTTGGCTGTTTTTGCAAATTTAGGGAGCATTGACTGTGCCCAGAAATGGTGCATTGAATGCTAGGTTTTGGACTGAGTTTATCATATGGCGAGGGTGTTTATCTTATAAAGACGTTTATATTGTTTCTGTTTAAGGACCATATCTTACATATGCTCGAAGTGATTGTACTGTACATGTTGGCCAAATGATTTATGGAAGAATTAATTGGTGTCCTGAACTTCCATCCCCTCTTCCTCCTCTTACTAATTGTTACTGATTGGCTTTGAGCGAGGTGCTAGGAGGGAACTTTTAATGCTCGATAGATAGATAGAGGATGGTTGTTGGTTTCTTCCCAGTGTCATATCCTATAGAGAAAAGTGAGGTTATTCTCTTTCTTTTAATATGTGTTAAATGTTGTGTTGAACATTTGTTTTTAATCAGTCTATTTATAAAGGGGGTGATACTTTAAAAATTCTCGAAACTGTTTAAGTGGTTATGTTCCCCATAGCAGGGAAGGAGAGGGTAGAGAGGATTGTAGGAATTTGATTAAATTGTGTAAAGCGAATATAATTATTTTGATATAAAACACATTAAATTAATCACTATATACCTTTTCTGTAGGATGGTAATCTTTTTTAATGAGCATATCTCACTGTGAAGAATCAAGAGCAGTGAATTGCCAGGAGAGGCATATGCACATCATTAGTCAGTTTTACGTGTTATTGCTGGGGACATTTTAGATGGCCATGAGAAAGATAAGCAGTTTCACTGAAGATCATTTTCAGAGATCTCACTTGGAGCTCTGCATTTTAAAAGGTGGGAGAACAGATTCTCAAGTGATGAATGGGGAAGCATTTTCAGATACAAAGTCACTATTAAGAAAACAAGTGTACCAATCTTTAAAAAATTACATTATACCAATTACAATCATATATCCTATATTTTCCAAAACTGTATCAGTTTTGAATATCCTGTGGCCATAAATACACTAGTATTTGTCCACCCATAAATCCTAACTGTGAGGTTAGAAAGGATAGTCACTTACATTATAGTTTAACTCATAAATGAAAAAACTGATCATTTTTATCTTCCTTTTCCTATATTATAACTTTGCTATTGATTTTGAAGGTCTAGTGTTGTTGTTGTTCAGTTGCTCAGTAGTGTCCTACTCTTTGCGACCCCATGGACTGCAGCATGCCAGTTTGCTCAAACTCATGTCCATTGAGTCGATGATGCCATCCAACTATCTCATTGTCTATCATCCCCTTCTCCTGCCTTCAGTCTTTCCCAGCATCAGGATCTTTTCTAATGAGTCAGCTTTTCGCATCAGGTGTCCATAAGTGTTGTAGCTTCAGCTTCAGCGTCAGTCTTTCCAGTTAATATTCAGGGTTGAATTCCTTTAGGATTGACTGGTTTGATCTCCTTGCTGTCCAAAGGACTCTCAAGAGTCTTCTCCAGCACCACAGTTAGAAGGCGTCAATCCTTTTCTGATGTCAACCTTTTTAACTGTCCAGCTCTCACATCCATACATGACTATGGGAAAAACCATAGCTTTGACTATATGGATGTTTGTCAGCAAAGTAATGTCTCTGCTTTTTAATATGCTATCTAGGTTTGTCATAGCTTTTCTTTCAAGGAGCAAGCGTCTTTTAATTTCATGGCTATAGTCACCATCTGCAGTGATTTTGGAGCCCAAGACAATAAAGTCTGTCACTGTTTCCATTGTTTCTCATCTATTTGCCGTGAAGTGATAGTCCCAGATGCCATGATCTTTGTTTTTTGAATATTGAATTTTAAGCTAGCTTTTTTACTCTCCTCCTTCACCTTCATAAGAGGCACTTTAGTTCCTCATCCTTTCTGCCATTAGGGTGGTGTCATCTGCATATCTGAGGCTGTATAACCTCAGATTCTTTGATTGAAGAGAAACTGTGAGAATGAATCCTGGCACCTGAGAAGTTAGAGTCACACTGGGAGAGACAGGCATGAAGTAAATAAAACACATCTGTGTGGCTATATTAATTCTTTTGAAAAGCAGTGGTTTTGAAGCTATATTCCATAAAGGGTTCATTCTAAGCAGATTCATTCCAATTTCAACCAGCGTAGTTTTATGTTGATCAGTTTTAAATGTGGACGTTTGCATAAGATTTCATGAAATCAGGGTATATTGTTTAAAATAGAAAGTGTGATAGCCACTTTTGTTAGCATGTTTGGTCTTATCAGTGTCCTGCTTAGACCTTTGCAATGCTTGAGTCTTTATTATGACTTACAGGACTTATTTATCTAGCTCCAGCTTCATCCTTCATCTCTTATCACTGTTTCCCTTGCTTTCCTTGGAAACCTTGCATTGTAGTCGTACTTAAACTGCTTGATATTCCCTAAGAAGGAAATGCTCTTTTCCATCTCCATGCCTTAACACGTGGAGCCATGCTGAGGAACTCTGTTTCCTTGGAGCCTTGGTCATTGCTCCATAAAAGCACTTGTCTTGTTGTTTTGTAACTGTGGCTTTCCTGGAGAGCGGAAACCATCTAATTTATCTTCATATCCATACTGTTTGGTGTTCATTAAGTATTAAAATTCTGTTGAATAATTGCATTCAGGACTTGAGAAGTAGAAGAATTACTTCAATGTATACCTATGTGAGTAAAACATCACAGATCTAGTCTATGCAAAAGTACTCTTAGTGACATTTGTTGGGCATAATGCTAAGTATATAAGAAGTACCCAGATGCACTTATCAGGAAGCATAATAAAGCCAAAAGATACATTAAATGGAAAGTTAGATTAGATTAGGTACTAGTGATTTAAATGAAGTAATGTATTGGCTTCAGTCATCTAATCCTGAAAGCTGATTGTGGAAGCATTTTAATAATAATTCCATACAGTCTTGAAAAAGTTTCTTTCTGTGTGACTAATGCTAATAGATTCAAAAAGACCTTCAAATGTCAAAGTTTAACATAGTGTTGTGCGTGTGTGTGCATGCTCAGTCACTCAGTTGTGTCCGACTCTTTGTGACCCCATGGACTGTAGTCCCAGGTTCCTCTGTCCATGGGATTTCTCAGGAAAGAATACTGGAGTGGTTTACATGTAATCAATGGCTAATTCATTTCAATGTATGACAAAAACCACTGCAATGTTGTAAAGTAATTAGCCTCCAACTAATAAAAATAAATGGGGAAAAAAAAAAAGAATACTGGAGTGGGTTGCCATTTCCTTCAGGGGAATCTTTCGGGCCCAGGAATCAAACCTGCATCTCCTCCATTGGCAGGTGGGTTCTTAGCATAGCACTACTCAGGAGGCCCCTGACATTCTGAAACCTGTCCGTAGAAGTTAAGGAGTGAGCCCTGGAGCTGTCCTGCCTGAATTTCAGTCCCTTTCCTAGGTCAGTGGTCTTGTGCAAGCTGTCTAATCAGTGCCTCCTCCTCATCTGTAACATGCAGATTTCAGTCATACTACCTTATATGGCTGTGATGAAGGGTGAACACAAGTTACTGTATGTTGAGCACTTAGAAGAATGCCCAATACACAGAAAACATTCAACACATATTGGCTATAATTTCTAGCAGCTTCTTAAGCAGTTTTTTTAATTGTACATCGTTTCCATCATTTAAAGACAGTTTCTTTATTACATGAGTATCAAATTTAAAATAAAAAATAGCACTTTTAGTTAGTTACCGTCCTGTCTCCTTACAGCCTTCCCTTGTGGCTTAGCTGGTAAAGAATCTGCCTGCAATGCCAGAGACCTGGGTTCGATCCCTGGGTTGAGAAGATCCCCTGAAGGGAAATGCTACCCACTCCAGTATTCTGGCTTGGAGAATTCTGTGGACTGTATAGTCCATGGGGTCACAAAGAGTCAGACACGACTGAGCGACTTTCACTTTCACTGTCTCCTTCCTGCCTCATTGTCCCGTTTCCCAGTGGAGTGTAGGCTGTTTCTGTCTTCTGGTTGACGTGAGCTACAATGCTGTTCTTCTGATTTCCACAGCAGAGCATTTTGTTTCCATGGCCTGTGCCGACAAGAGAGGAGGGGAGGAACAACAGCTGTAGGGACAGTGACAGGTGCCTAAACCAGCCTTACCTGTCCTGAGTGAGTCCTAAACTTTCATCCTTCTTGGCAGAGGGTAGGTATGAAACTTTTTTCCCTTACACGTTCCCTAACTTTTTTGTCTTGGAAGAATAGATTTTTAAAAATCTGACTTTATATATGCATACTGGTGTTAGTTGCTCAGTTGTGTCTGACTCTTTGCAACCCCCTCAGCCCAGCAGGCTCCTCCATGGAATTCTCCAGGTAGGAATATTAGAGTGGATAGCCATTCCCTTCTCCAGGGGATCTCCTGACCCAGGGATCAAACCCAGGTCTCTTGCATTGCAGGCAGATGCATTTACCATCTGAGCCACCAGGTAGGCCTGTGGACAGAGGAGCCTGGTGGGCTACAGTCCATGAGGTCGCAAAGAGTAGGACACCACTGAGCAACTAACACATATATTCCAGAAAGGCTCATATAAATTTAATAAGTCAGTGAGCCTGTTTTTTAAGCTCAGTGTTCACACATGTACCTGTAGTGAGGACAGGAAGTGGGGCATTAGTAACTTGTGTGGGTACCCTGAAAGTCCCATGTGCCTCGAAATCCTGTCCAGTGTGCCCTTTTAGGACACAAAGAACACTTTCAAGGGAAGGAAATCTATATTCCAAGATACTCTGTAGAGAGTGGTTATTCACTTCTCACTGTAACAAGAACCTAATATCTAGTGTATCCTTACAGCCTAGTGTGACTGCTTCTCTTGTGTAACAATTAAAATATAATGAAAAGCTCATTAGGGTTTTTTTTTATATTTCATTAAAAAGAAAGTAATCTAACAAATAATTTTAAGCTGACTGAGGGATTTGAAGGTGAGGGGCCAGGATATAAAGATAAGTTGAGCACTTATCTTTACTACTTGTGACCTATTAGAGAGACCAGAGTACTTAGGAGTTGAAAGCTGGGAATGAGATTGGACAAGTCCTGGGTTTTGAACAGATTAAGGAAACAAAATAAGACATTAGCTCGGGACCATTTTTAAATGCCAGTGGCATCCAGTGTGATTGTTCGCTTTGGGAAGTTTGAATCCTTATACAAGTCATTCAGTAACCCTAGTAGTGTCTTGTGATTTGAACACTAGTTTAACGTTAGCAAATTTTTGCTCAGGGGCCTTTGTAGGAACTGTCAAGTCTTTTGCACCTTCGTGAAATTGATGAGTTAGGTCATACAAGAAAAACCAACTTCTAGAACAAATACAGTTTTGACTAAACATATTTCTTCTGTACAGACCTAGACGCTGTGTCCATGTTTAAATGTTATCTAGCCTTGAAATTTCATTTCCTTCAACAGCATGCCTTTCTGTATTTGTCAGGCCAGAGAACTTCTTGTTTTATTTCTTACCTCAGTTTTTATTCTTTGTTGTTGTTAGTAGTATTGATAGCATTATTTAATCAGGAAAGATAAATACTGTTTGGACATTTTCAAATGCCTAAAAACTGTAAGGTTGCGTAGAGGAATGAGTAAGACTTGTACGACTCCTACCCAGTTGGATCCAACCCTCAAGAACATCTCTGTGTTATCATACACCCTTCCTTGTTTTAGGTTTCTGAGTGTTAGAAATAACTTCTTATTGAACTTGATTTATTTCCCCTCTTAAGTTTCACTTACTTGTCTTTGGCTGTCTAGGGCACTATATACATGAAACTTACTCTTCTTATACACAGTAACTCTTAAAATGATTGAAAGTGACTATTAAATCCTGCTTGAGTCTTTTTGCCACAATAAGGGGGGAGAAAAGCCCTAATTCTCAAACCATATGCACATGACATGGTTTGCAGACCTTTCTCCATGCACATTGCTAAACTCATGACAAAGTCTGTTTGTCAGTAACCTCTCAAAATACAGTGGCCAAAACTGACTGACGGCCTCAGATGTGGACAGCCCATTGCTGAAGACAATGAAGCTGTTGTCTGGGTACTGTGCTTCTGTTAATACAGTCTGAAATTTATATCACATTTTTGGGCAGCAGCATTATCGTTTGATCATATTTAGCTTATGGTCAACTAAAACGTTGTCTCTTTTCCATGTGGACTGCTTGAAGTCCAGTCTTTCTCATTCTTTACTTGCAAGTTGATGCTTTGAAAATAAATGCAGGATATGATGTATTGCATTACCCTGAAAGTTTAAGTGAATTTTTTAAAATCAAATTTTATCTCATTTTGACTATCCAGAGATATAGCATTTGTATAAATGAGCACAATTTTCATGGTGCTCTCTCATATATTTTTATTTAATCTTTACAGCAACCATCCCAGAATCAGAAGAGAAAAGTGGCTTTCTGCTAAGTCAGTTATTGGCAGATGTAGTACTTGGTCACAGGAGTTTTGATTCCAGATCCCATGTTCTTCTTAACCACTGTTCACTTAGTAAGCATTCAGCATGTCCTCCGCCATGTGGCCGGCACCGTGCAGTGCTGGTGCATCAGTGAGCGAGACCGATGGCAGCCTCTGCCCTGTGCTGGTTATGGCTTGCTGTATAAATAATTGCTGCCGGTTCCCGAGCAGCTTCTACTTAAGAGGGCACTGTGGTAGACTGTGTGACCATTCACGGTATGTGTTGCCTCTCTCCTGGGGTCTTCTCTGTCAGAGGATTGTATTTCCCACTCTGTTGACATCAGGTTTGGACACTTGGCTTTCCTAGACTGATAAAATGTTAGAGGAAGTGGCATGTCCCATGTTTGAGCAGATGTTTTAAATTCTGTTTTGCGGTTCTGCCAGTGGCACTCTTGCTTCAGTCATGGAACCAGCCTGCCTTAGCTGGGGCTGATCCCAGAATGATGGAGCAGAGCTGAAGCCAATTCATGGTTGACATCTAATGTAAGTGAGAAATGAACCCTTGTGCTGGAGGCACCATGTTTGTTACCATAGCATCATGTATCCCAAGCAGACTGTGATACTGACATTCAAGGCGCTATTTGATGATAAATAAGATTTAAGCCTTGTTCTCAAGAAATGTGCAGTCTTGGCGGGTGCAGTAAATTTCCATCAGTTACTGTGGTTGAGGAAGAGGGGAATATGTGTATGGGAAGGTTTTTGAAGCTGAGGATCTTCCTGACTTTGCTTCATCTCTAGGCGGAATCAGTCAGTATGCTTTAAATTCTGAGTCTAAGGTCCAGCTACTCACAGTCACAACTTCTATCCAAAATTTGATAAGCATGCTTTCTCTGTCTTGGTTCAAATCACCTTTTTAAAAACAAATGTTCAAGAGGATGGGCTTTGACAGAATAGTCATTAGAAACTTCCTAAATCTTACTAGATAGCATTCACTAGGTAACCTAAGAACCTGCCTAGTTGAACCATTTTCCCAACATATCCATGAAAGTTATCATAAGATCCTACGTCCTGTTGGAGTTTTATTTGTCAGCATTCGGATTTTCCATTGCCACAGCCACGTGTACCTGGTTTCGCATGGGTTTTTCATTTAAAAACGAAGCCCAGGCTGGGATTCTGTGAGGGATTTCCTTACCCCAAGAAGCTGAGGGATGCATGGCCAGGGTTCAGGGGAGATCTTGAAACCTTTGAAAGAATTGCACGGAGAATTTTCTGTAAATATACCTTGTTCTGAGCTGTAGCTTTCATCAGATTATCAAAGAGAATTGACTCCCCTTAGAAGGTTGCAGCCACAGTTGTGGAGTGAGAGAAGTGGAATGAGGATTGAGAGGGCGTGAGTGTGTAAGGGACACACAACATATATAAAAAGTATATATATATTCAAAATTACGTATTTTTTCGAAGTCTGAAAAAATATATATTTTCAGATATATTTAATGTTTTAGGGTGTAATTTTTCTCAATCTATAAATATGAATTTAAAGTTAGTTCCTTCTTTGGCTTTGATTTTTTTCTTTCATTCTTTTTTTTTTACCACCCCCCCCTTAATCCTTATTTACCCTTCTCAGATTAAAGATCATTCTTATTTAAGAAGATTGACTCAAGATAGAAAGTGTTCCTTAGGTTATCTGTTGATAATTGACCCCAAGTCAGGAGATAGCCTTTGTTATTCTTTCTTGTTGGGAAGGCTCCCCCCACCTCACCCCACCTCAGGATCTCAGCTCCCCAACCAGGGGTCAAACCCTGGGCCACAGGAGTGAAAGCAGAGTCCTAACAACTGTACTGCCAGGGTATTCCCGAGGAAGGCATTTTTAAGTTTTAAAATTTTTCCTCAACACTTATGACAAATAGCTTTAAAAAAAAAAACTGTATTGAGATATAATTGTTATACAATTAACTACACATATCAAAAGTGTAATTTGATAAGCTTTGACATAGAGAATGCACATAAAACCATACTTGTCGTCAGGACACTGAGCGTGTTTGTCACCCCTCCGTTTGTTCTAGTCCCTCTTGGTAACCTCCCCCCCTTTATTACCCAGGCAACTACTGTTTATTTTCTTTTTCTTTAGTTTAGTCAGCATGTCCTAGAATACAGGATGCACTCTTTTTTTTTAATTTAACTTCTTTCACTCAGCATGATTATTTTGAGATGTATCCATTTTGTAGTGTGTATTAATAGTTTATTCCTTTTTTAGCTAAGAAATATTCTATTGGATGGATACATACTGTAATCTGTGTATCCATTCGTGTATCCGTTCACGTCTTGATGAGGGGGGTTGGTGGTTCTAGTTTTTGGCTTTTACAAATAAAGCTGCTGTGAACATCCATGGACAGATCTTTATATGAATATATGCCCTCATTCCTCTTGGGTAAATTCCTAAGAGTGAGTGGTTGAATAATATTGGGGGGAGGGAGACAGGGAAGAGGTTGAGAAAGCAAGAGAGGTTTATTGTAAGAAATTGGCTCACAGGATTCTGGGGGCTGGCAAGGCCAACACCCGTGGGTGGGCCAGCAGGCTGCACCTGGCAGGGAGTTGCTGTCGTAGTCCTGAGTCACCGCCTGTAGGATGGGCCCGGGGTCTGGGAGTTCAGGCAAGATTTCTGTCCCTGTCTTGACACAGAATCCCTTCTTCCCCAGGAAACTGCAGTGTTTTGCTTTGAAGGCCTTCAACTGATTAGATGTGGCTCACCCACATTGTGGAAGGCAATCT